CTGAGCCTTTACTAACCTAGTCCCAGCTGGTTCTATTTGCTAAACTGGGCTTTGTTGTGTGTGTGTGTGTGTGTGTGTGTGCATGTGTGTCTGTGTTTCAAATATTAGCTGGCACCTTTGTCTTTCCAAAGGAAAACCATAAGCTCATAGATTTCTCTCCAGATAACTTAGATTCTATCAATCTCAGTCTTTTTGTGTTATGTGTACAAATATTTTCAAAACTTTTACTACGAATTACATAAGCAACTTCTTGCTTCACAAAACTAGTAAAGGACATCACATAATCGTAAGTCAGATAGAGATCACCTCGCAAGGGACACCCTCGCTTTGTTTCAAGGGCCTTATATAATTCGGCTTTCTTGTCTCCGTTTGGAGACCCCACACAAGAAAAGAAAAAAAAATCCAAACAACTTAGAAGTTAGTCAAACAGAGAGCATCTAAATTTACTTCCTCATGACCCTTGTGGGTTTCACCTTCAGAAACGGCCTATTCAAGTATAAACCCAAATGCAGCAGGAAAATATTTTGTGACCTCGGAACATATATTTTACATTCACGGCCATTCTTGCTGTATTATTTGCAGCAACATATTTTACAGTCTCGGAAAGCCTTAGGCCATGGCTTCAGTGAAAGGAAATCATGCATCCTAGACCAAAGAAAGCAATGTTCAGTTTCTAGCTGCCAAAATAGGGCCTGTGTGCCCATCTCAGGTCAATAGATGTGAAAGGTAACTGCAGCATCAAGAGAGATGTATGATACGATAGAGAGAGTCGTTGTCTTGGGAGAGAGAGTGGATCAAGAAGGAAAGGAGAACGAGTTAAGACGTAGGTCTGTGGGGGCGCCTGGGTGGCGCAGTCGGTTAAGCGTCCGACTTCAGCCAGGTCACGATCTCGCGGTCCGTGAGTTCGAGCCCCGCGTCGGGCTCTGGGCTGATGGCTCAGAGCCTGGAGCCTGCTTCCGATTCTGTGTCTCCCTCTCTCTCTGCCCCTCACCCATTCATGCTCTGTCTCTGTCTGTCCCAAAAATAAATAAACGTTGAAAAAAAAAAAAAAAAAAAAAGACCTAGGTCTGTGTGCTGCTCCCAGCCCACCCATCCCCATGGACTAGGCCCAAGCATTGGTTTTGGAATGGAAATGGGAATTCAGGTGGAGAAAAAAATAGAAATGCCCTGATGGATCCCTGAAGGCTCTGGAACCTTTCAAAGAGGGGACCGCCAGAGTGGGACAAACTCAACAAATCAGAAATGGCAGCATGATTTGTTTCGGCTGATGACGTGGGAAAAAGAGGAAGTCCTATCGTCGGAGCCTTCTGTGTTTAATCATTAACTGAATCATTCCTTGGTTATTTTTTCTGCTCTAGAATTTTATTTGACTCCTATTTTTAAAAACAAAACTTCTAGTTCTCTGGTAAAATTCTCTAACTCATTCTTTCCTTTCTTAAGCTCAGTCATCACAATTATTTTTAAAATCCCTCTTTGAAAACTTTGGTATCTGATTCTATGTCTGTTTCTATTGCCTTTTATCTTTCTACAGATCTTCAGACATTTGATCCTGTTTTTATAGGATGACTTGTGATTTTTTAATTTAATGCTGGATATTGTGGATGAAAATTTTAGAGGGTCCAGATAACGCCGTGTCTCTCCAACAAGTGTTAAATTTTCTTTGATTGAAAGAAAAGTGGAAAAAGTATCACTTTGATTCATTAGGGACTGGTTTTGAGCTTGGCTAGGGATAATCTATTTTAGTTTTGTACTTTTTTCTAAAACATCATCCTTATTTCTAAGGCATGGGTCCTCTGGGTCTTCAACTAAAAGCCCCATGTGTTTACAAGGCCCCTGCATCTTGGCAGAGCTTTAACTTCAATAACTGTCTCCCATGCATGCTCACTTCTCGTAGCTTCTCTGCTGATGTTTTTTGCTGTGTTTCTTAGAGTATTGTCCTGCACATGCACAGCTTAGAAATCAGCGGATATGGGGACTCCTGGGGGGCTCTGTCAGTTAAGCATCCGACTTCGGCTCAGGTCATGATCTCACGGTTCATGAGTTCAAGCACCGTGTCGGCTCTGTGCTGACAGCTCAGAGCCTGGAGCGTGTTTCAGATTCTGTATGTCTCTCTCTCTCTCTCTCCGCCCCTCCCCTGCTCACGCTTTGTGTGTGTGTCTCTCTCTCTCTCAAAAATAAACATTAGAAAAAAAAAGATGATTTTTCATTTGTTTTTTCTAGGTAACTAAAGTTAAAGCACTTAGAACAGTGCCTGGCACATGGAAAGTAGTTACCTTTCATTGTTGCATGTTTATTTCACCTACCCAGATTAAGAATGCTCCAGCTTTTATGTTCCCAGCATCAGTACAAACTTTGACTTATAGTCAATACGTCAAACATAGTTGCTGAGCAAATGGCTTAAAGAGCTGAAAATGAGGTGAGACATATGTGTGAACCCCACCCACATTCACCAACACAAAATCATGAATACTTCTGTAGAGAGATAAACTTACGTACAGTTTTTTTAAAGAATGAAATACGCCTAGCGTTTACCTTCCGTCAGGTTTGACACGCTTTGCCTCGACGTGCTTTCCACATTGTCGGATTCTGTTACTTGAGTTTCTAGAAAAAAGAAAAAAATGAAACAACTTTTTGGATACTTGTGAACACTCATGTTCAGGGTGTTATGGTTTCATTATAATTGTTCATCTTTTAATGAATTTGGATTGTCCACGGAACCGTGCCCGTGAAGGGCTCCGTCCACACCGGCATTCTGCTTCTAGAGTTCATCTTGATCGCCTTCTGAATGACTGTTCATTCCCACTCCTCTTTTATGTTGACTTTTCTGATCCTTTGGGCTTCCTCATCTGGTTCCCACTACCGCCATCTGGGCAGAGCACCCAGTTTGACCTTGGCAGACCCTCAAGGTCAATACTTCTGTTACCTCTTTCTGGATGGTATATTGAACGTATGCATAGGCAGAAAGTGATCCCGCCATCCCAACCTGCAAACCCAAGGGGAAAGCAGCCTTTGCTCACGTGCCTTCTCTCCCCTTTGGTCCACTTGACCCCGTTATTACAAAGCATGCATTATTTGTGATAGGAAAAAATGCAAATAATCCAAATGCCCATTTTGAACATGTATCATTTTGAACATGGATTTACCTAACAAAGACTGTCTTCGAGGTTTTCTTGGCAAAATTGGTGTTGGTAGGGCGATGGGACCTGGAAAATTCCTAATAGTTAGTACCACCGCAGTATTTTGCTTTAAACGTTCAGACCACTGTCTTTCTGTTTTAACAGGCACTCTTCTTGGTAGAGGGCTTGGCCCTGTTTCACTTAAATCTATCAGAGCCTGCTTAAAAATAAAGGTTTTCTTCTTTGATAAAGGTGGATACTCAGAGAGAACTTCCTTGGGTTTGGGAGTAATAACTGGGGAAGGTGCACTTGCAGGTCTGGAGAACTCTGAGGAGAGAATCAGAATGTCTTTGAACATGTTATCAACATAAATATTTTTTCTTTTTGACACTTCTCGTTTTGATTTTCTTGAAGTTTCCGTTTGGCTTGTTTCTTTCCCAAAAACTCGACTTGAGGCTGAATGACAGCTTGGAAAAAATATGCAACCAGTAGCAGTGTCTGGAATGTGCCAATAGACCCTGCTAAAATGTTTTCTTGGTATTGAAATAGTCGTCACTCTTTCTCGTACATGATGATCAAGAGAGAGATTTTGGATACTGATAGGGGTTTGTGATCGATCTCTTGAAACATCAGGAAAACTAGTTTTCTTTCTTTCAGTTGAAGTGGTTTCTTCTGGAGTGAACGTCACACGTTTTGGCTTAGCTTTACCAGTCTTGGCTAAACCAGAAAAAAAAAAAAAAAAGGCACAATTAGTTTATATTTATCAAGGTACCAGGGACAAAATTTAATGTCTTAAAGTTCATACCCACCCCTCTTTCACCGTCTAAAAATTTCTGCATATACCTGCTCAGCTATGAGGACTTTTGTTTAACTGACTGGGGTAAAGTTTGAGTAATCAAATGGAAACGAGAAAAGACTAAATTGTATTAGATTTAGAAAGGGTAGGGGGAGACTCTTGGAAGAACAGAATTGATAGAAGAAAGGGTATAAAGGTAATTTTTGGACCAGTTGCTACTAAAACTGGAAATAAAATGGGTAAAAATTATTTGGATGAAGTTTTGTTATTTATCATTTCTCGTTATCTCTTCCTCATTGAAACTCCCTTGAGCAAAGACTCACAACTCTTTTCAACGCCAAATGTCAGACCAATGTGTCTTTTGAAACGATAACATCCTGATGCGGGGTACCAAATACTACAAGTTCAGTTAGGTTAAAAGGTAAATGTTCTTTTCTCTCCCAGGTCCAGAAAACGTACAATGGTTCTTCGGTACCTCACCACACCAAATATACTTTCTCTTTCCTATGGGACGGAATGTCAAATGACTCTTTTCCATGGTCTCAGTTGAGTACTAAGTGATGAAGACTTCTACCTTCTAAAGAAAAGATAATAGATTCTTTAAGGCAAGGCTTGCAAAGAGATGCCAAAACAAATCCAGGTCTCATCCATCTGCTGTCTACGCATAAGAGATGGCTGGAGTCTGACCTGAGTTCAGAGAGAGGAATTCTCCTGGATAGAGTTATTGGAGTGCTATGTGTTTCCTCAGTCTTCCCCTCCTTGTGGTGGGTGGAAGAGGATTTTTCCCCAACCTCAAACAATGTGACCAGAATTCTCAGAGAACCATTTAGAGAGCGGGAGTGTATGCCAGGAGGAGAAAATAACATATCATTCCTCTACTCACCTCCCCCGCTAATACTTACAGAGTAGCAAAAAGGGATCAGCCCACCCAGTCCTGGGTTCCAAGTGGAGCAAGGCAAGAGAATCCTTGAAACTCCTTGACCTGTATCTCCTGGCATTTCAGGGGTAGGTACAGAGACTGATGCTTAGTTTTTAACTCCTTAACTCTTCTCCATCCCTAGCCCCACTTATGGAGGAGCAGAAACCGTAAGTTGGGGGAAAGAAGTAAAGAACCAGGTGGAAGACCTTGGTCACGCCCCTGTCTCCTCTGGCGTGTCTAAAAATTTGCAGACCTAGTCTGAGCTGGGGGAAGGGGCAGGCCAGATAAAAGTAATGATTCAGATTGAAATATTCGTTTAATATCTGAAAAGGAAACAAGGCTAAGAGGTGAAGTTGACTAGAAAAGCCTTGGAGGAAAGCTGTGTGTCCTGGGTGAGTTTGAAGGGCACTAGTGGGAGAATAAGAACGTTTGCTTCCTGCTTGTATGGAACTAATAAAAACTAGCTCATTCAAGAAAAATGGTCACACCATCATTCAACTTTTTTCCCTCTCTCCCATATTAAAACAAAACATAATAACGCAAGCAGAATCCTCAACAAACTCCAGAACTCCTTCCAACCACCACAGTCTCACCATATTTATCCTTCTGGAGTGTGAAGTAACTGACCCTCAGTTTGATGTCTTCTCCTCTCTGTTCTGTTTGTTGTTTCACTTTATTTAGTCTGTAACTTTCAATTAATAGTCTTTCTTTTTAGAACAATTTTAGATATGAAAATACTTGAACAAGAATACAATTCCTATATATTCCCCCCTACAATTTTATCTATTATTAACATCCTGATTGTTGAGTACATTTATTATAATTGATGAACCAATGTTGACATACAATTAATTCAAGTCCATACTTGACATTAGGGTTCATTCTCTGTGTTGTCCATTTCCATAGATTTGGACAAATGTGTAATGCCATGCATCCGCTATTACAGTATCATAAACAATAATTTTACCACCTTAAAATTCCCCTGTGCTTCACCTGTTCAACACTTCTCTCTCTGAACAAATTTCTGGCAACCCCTGATTTTTTAGTTTTTATCGTGTTATTGTTTTGCCTTTTCCAAAATACTACAGTGGTTGGAATCATGCAGTATGTAGCCTTGAATAAATAAGAGGGGTTTGTTTTGCTCTTCTCCAGAATTTGGTGGTGTCAGTGTTGTGTATTTTAACTATTCTAAGAGGTATGCAGTGGTATCTCATTGTTGGTTTAATTTGCAGTCTCTAATGACAAATGCAAATATTAAGCATTTTTTATCTTTTTTTCTTAAATTTCTTTCTTTTTTCGGCGTTAAGCATTTTTTCTTAAAAAACTTTTTTTAAACATTTGTATTCATTTTTGAGAGACAGAGAGAGACAGAACACTAGCGGGTTAAGGGCAGAGAGAGAGGGAGACACAGAATCTGAAGCAGACTCCAGGCTCTGAGCTGTCATCACAGAGCCTGACGCAGGGCTCGAACCCAAGAACTGCGAGATCATGACCTGAGCCTTAGTTGGACACTCAACCGACCGAGCCACCCAGGCGCCCCCCTCCTTTTTTAAAAAAAAAATTTTTTTAACGTTTAGCGTTAAGCATTTTTTCCTATGCTTATTTGCTTTCTGGATATCTTCAGTGAAGTGACATTTCAGATATTTAGCTCACTTTTATTATTATTATTATTATTATTGTTATTATTTATTATTATTATTATTTTAGAGAGAGAGTGTGTGTGTGCACAAGCAGGGGAGAGGGGCAGAGGAAGAAAGAATCCCAAGCAGGCTTCACACTCAGTGGGGCTCCGTCCCAAGAACCCAGGATCATGACCTGAGCTGAGATCAAGAGTCACTCAACCGACTGAGCCACCCAGGTGCCCCTAGACCACCTTTTAATTAGGTTCTTTTCTTATTTAAGAGATCATTGATTTGGGATAGAAAGTCCTTTATCAGATACGTGTTTTGTAAATATTTTCTGCCAGTGTGTGGCTTGTCTTCTTATTCTTTTAACAATGTCTTTCACAGAGTAGAAGTTTTTAATTTTAATGAAGTTCAACTTACCAATTTTTTATTTCATGAGTTGTTCGTTTTTATTATTGTATTGTTTTATTTCTATTTAATGCATAAAGGAATGTTCCAAAAGAAACAGATGGAAATATAAACCTGATAAATCTTCAATTTCATGGACTGTTCCTTTGGTGTCATATCTAAAAAGTCATTGCCAAATCCATGGTCACCTAGACTTTCTCCTGTGTTATATTCTAGACGTTTTAGTGTTTTGCATTTGTACATTTAGGTCTATGCTTCTTTTGTGTTTATTTTTGTGAAAGGTATAAGGTCTGGTCTAGATTTTTTTTTTTTTTTGCGTGTTGGTACCTAGTTAATTTGTTCCAGGACCATTCACTGAGAAGACTATACCTTTGTTCTTTGCTCTTTTGTCAAAGATCAGTTGACTATATTTGTATATATCTATTTCTTGGCTCTCTGTTTTCATCCATTGATCTATTTGTCCTTTATTTTGCCAATACAACACTGTATTACTTTAAAGTCTTGAAATTGAGTAGTGACAATTTTACTTCTTTCCTCTTCTTCAGTATTGTATTTGGTATTGTGTTTTTCCTTTACATATAAACTTTAGAATAATTTTGTCAATACACACTAAATAGCTTGCTGGTATTTTGGCTGAGATTTCTTTGAATCTGTAGATCAAGTTTAACAATATTGAATCTTCCTATTCATGAAGATGAAATACCTTTCCATTTATTTATATATTTTTTTATTTATCACAATTTGGTAGTTTTATGCATATAAATCCTATAATACATTATTAGCTTTATGCCTAAATTAATTCTAGTGTGTTTAAAAAATTTTTTTTTAGTGTTTTTATTTATTTTTGAGACAGAGAGAGACAGAGCATGAGCAGGGGAGAGGCAGAGAGAGGAAGACACAGAATCTGAAGCAGGCTCCAGACTCTGAGCTGCCAGCATAGAGCCCGACACGAGGCTCAAACTCACGGAGTGTGAGATCATGACCTGAGCCGGAGTCGGATGCTTAACCAACTGAGCCACCCAGGCGCCCCAATTGTAGTGTGTTTTGATACTAAAGTAAGTTGTAGTGTTTTGAATTTCATATTCTAACTGTTGCTGGTATATAGGAAAGCAATTGATTTGGGTATATTAATCTTGTATCTTGTAACATTGTTATAACTGTTTTTTATTTCCAAGAGTTCTTTTGTTGATTCTTTGGGATTTTCTACATAGAATAAAGATAGTTTTATTTCTTTCTTCTCAACTTGTACGGCTTTTATTTCATTTTCTTGTCCTATTGCACTAGCTAGGATTTTTTAGTACAATTGCTGAATAGCAGTGGTGAGAGGGGACATCCTTTGTCATTTTAGGGGGAAAGCATCTAGTTTCTAACCATTAAAGATGTTGTTAGCTGTGGGATTTGGGGTAGATCTTCTTTATCAAGTTGAGAAAGTTCTCATCTATTCTTAGTTTGCTGAGAATTACTTCATGAAGGCATGCTGGATTTTGACAGATGGATTTTCTATATCTACTGATGTGATCATGTGATTTTTCTTCTTTAGGCTATTTATATGATGGGTGACATTAACTGATTTTTGAGTGTTGAACCAGTCTTGCATATCTAGAATAAATTCCCCTTGGTCATGATGTGTAATTATTTTTATACATTGTTGAATTCAATTTGCTAAAATTTTGTGGAGGATTTTGGCACTTATGTTCATGGGTGATATTTATATGTAGTTTTCTTGTAAGTTCTTTGTCCGGTGTTGGTATTAGGGTATACTGCTCTCACCGAATAATTTAGGAAGTGTTCTGTCTGCGTCTATCTTCTGGAATAGTTTGTAGAGAATGGATATCATTTACTCTTTAAATGTTTGGTAGAATTCACCAGTGACTCTATCTGGGCCTGGTGCTTTCTATGTTGCGAAGTTATTAATTACTGATTCAATTTCTTACACTAGGCCTATACAAGCCTATAAAGTAATAAATTA